TTAGTTTCTCACTACTAGCAGTGGAAGCTATTGAATCCTTTCGGAAAAAGACTTGGAACTAATACATTACATAACAGTTGTACGTTCTTAGGTGCTGTATCATTTCATAGTTTTTAGAGCCCTGTCTGAAAACTGCAGTGCATGTAGACTGCCTACAGGTGCTAAGAGCAAAAGGACATTGGTCCACAGTTTTCTAAAGTCAAGCCTCTTTATTGTACACTCCAAAGCATTTCCACATTGAAAGAGAATAATAACTTAAACATTTATTTATGAATAGCTTTACCTGAGCCAACTGTAATTTTCTTTTGGAGCACCAGGGTCCATTTAAATGACTGACCAGTTGCAGCCACTGTGAGGCCACTGAAAACCGCTGATCTGCTTAGGTACTATAAGCAGCTGGTGCAATTAGTATCTAAGAGCTCATTAATTGCACACTGCTGTGGCTGCTGTTTAGGTCATTTGCAAACACTGCACATACAATGGGTACAGCCAGTGAAGAGCCTTTAGGCTGAAATCCTAAACACTGGCTAGAGAATTCATCCTAATGAACATGGTTGAACTTATTTCTGAGTAAACATGCCTAGGACAGTGCCACTGATATCTAATTCAATATATCTGAAGCACCTATAGAGTTAATGGTTGTTTTTTTGGCAGCTTCTATGTGACCACTGTTGCAAGTCAATTAGTGTGTGATTTCTTCAATGCAGATTTTTTTGTAAGTTTTGTTTTGCTGCTTAATTCTGAAGTCTATGAAAATCTAGTGTCCATTGCAATTAATGACTTGTGAGGATAAAGCTTTCTCTTAAGCTCCAATCTGGTATAAACATGTCTGACTGTTTATTATTGGCCACTCTAATATTCGTAAATAACATTTGCATTAGCTCCCTGGATTTGTGTTAAATTCACTTGACTTTTGCCCATTGCTTTAGTGTTTGCACTTCAAATATAACTACTGTACATTAATTGTGATAGCACTAGGATAGGCAGTTCACTCACATTAATGTTTCACAATTAAGATCTACCTTATTTTTTGAATTGTTTGTCTACTTTACTATTGCCATGATGTTGACCAAAGTGTGCATGCCTGTTGTAGAAGTGCTGGATTTGTTGCATCTGTTTCTAAGGGTTAACTCAAGTGACATTATACAGGGTTTTTTTTTAGGTAGTGCAGATGTGGCTTGACCTGAGATTTATTGATTAAGAGTGTCAATTGGCTATAAGGTATCAGCCCTGACTCTGGAATTTTTTGCAAATCCAGCAAAATCCACAACCTTTGGTTGTGTTTTAGATAAGACCCTGCAAGAATGAAAATAATAAGAGAGAGAGACCCCCAATCAGTTGAGCCTAAAGACTTGTTCTGAGAATGTGAAAGACCTTTGGATATTGAAACATTGTTTAAGGAGAATCAGACATTTCGTTATTATATAGATTTGTCTATGTAATATAGCAGTTACAAAAATTTATGTCCATTAACAGTCATTCAAAGCTAGTTTCACCAAATGCCTGTGAAATAAGATTGTTTGTACTTGATGGTGGAAACCCATCAGAATCTCTCCCATCCACACTTCCAGGGGTTGTGTGCTAAGTGGGACATTTTACTGAGGTCATTAATTAGATCTGTTCACCAAAGGAGAAAAGTTAAAAGTGATTCGGTCTAAGGGTTGTAAGTTAAGGAGGAAAAGAAGAAGAAGAGGAGGAGGAGTTTGGATTTGATATCCCGCTTTATTGGCTAACATTCTCCTTTCCCTTCCTCCCCCACAACAAACACTCTGTGAGGTGAGTGGGGCTGAGAGACTTCAAAGAAGTGTGACCAGCCCAAGGTCACCCAGCAGCTGCATGTGGAGGAGCGGAGACGCGAACCCTGATCACCAGATTACGAGTCTACCGCTCTTAACGACTACACCACACTGGAGATGAGTTAGGTGTTATGTAGCTGACAGGTCAAGACAGGGAAGCTCTTTAAAGGGGTGTCTGGATCAATTTCAACATGGGATCCATTAGACTTATCAGAAAAAAAATATAGCTCTGCTATGGAGAGACTCAGTACCAAGAATGAGGTTGATAGAAGAAATGCTTTAATGTTTTAAAATACATCAATACTTTCACAGAGTATACGTATGTAAATAAATGGACATACCTGCATGTTTATGGATATACTGGGTGGTATTTAAAGCTAGTCCTCCTCAAGAGTAGACCCCTTGAAGTTAATGGGCATGATTAAGGTTCCTTAATTGTAGTTGGTCCACTCTAAGTATGACTTAGTTGAGTACAGTCCATTTAGAGTTGGAATAAAAATTATTTTTGGTATGCTGCCTCGTGGACTTGCTTCCTAACATTGTTGGGGAGAAGCCTTCATCCGTCTAATGAAGAAAGAAGCTTCTAATGTGCAGAGAAGTAATAGCAAACTTGGATTCATAAAAGAGTCACTCCGAAATTTCATATGACGTGTCTGCTTAATCTCTTAGCAGATGAGAAAAATACACAAGACAGGAAGATAGCTTTTGTTGCCATCTGGAATTGTAAAACTGCTTGTGTGTGAGAGTGAGAGGCACCTGGCATATTGCTGTATATGTAGCTGCTGCATGTTGGGTCACAAGCTGCGAATGCCCGAGTTAGAAGGAAAGTGTTTGCATATTTGAGTGTGTACTTGCACTGAGCTTCTACACTGGCTTAGTGCTATATTTGAACTTGGAGAAGTTCCTGCTGCTGGAAAGCTTTGACATGTCCAGTACTTTATGACTTGTGGTGGATACATTCACTTTCAAGTTTAGCAGTAAAATGGAGTGCAGTTGGTGACGCAGGAAAGGTAGGACATGCCATTTAATTAGGGGCTTAATTAATTTAGCCCAGGCTAAGTGTTTTAAAGATTTCTTTTGCTTCTTTGCAGGTTGGGTGGGTTAGGTCTGCAGTATTCTGTGGTGTTAGTGAAAGGAGGGTATTGTAGAGACTGAAAACGAAACTCAAGTACAAACTGAACTGTGAACCAGAGGGGGCAGAGTTTGTAGTGGGCTAGATGTTCTGAATGAGGGTCTCTGTATAACAAATGAGGGTACCTTCATTTTCCCTACTGCCAGCATTGAGGACCATCTTACCCAGAAGGGAGAGATCACTGAACACACACCATCTAACATCAATTGAAATGCATCTCACTTCTCTCTCTGGTCTAATTTTTATAAGATGTGGGCCACCGTGAAAACAATCTTAATTTTATACTCAAATGGGCCCGTGATTGTATGTGCCTTTCTGCATTTAAACATGAATAGGCTGATGTGGAAAGCTTACATGCCCTCACTGGGCACTTCTGAGGCTCCAGCAGCTGGGCAAGAGAGGTGGGGCTTGGGCTGGGGCTTAGAGGCTGAGACCAGGGATGACAGCAGCCCCAGCCTGCACACTGCCCTCTCATCTTGCTCACCTAGACGCCAGCAGCAGTGATAGTGGTTAAGTCCCCACAGTGGCAAGGGGCTCATGGGTCCATGCCGAGGCTGCCAGAAGGGAAGAGAGGAGGTAGGTGGGGAATTGGGAGCCTTACCTTTGCTTTCACACAGCAGCAGCAACAGCTGCAGTGGAGGCTGGGGTGGCTCAGCCCAAATTTTGGGGGACCAAAAGGGTCTTGGCCCCTTAGAGTTAGCTCCTATGTTTGTGCCCAAGCATCTTCTTGTTGATGCTACTGGGACTGTCTTCCCACAGGCCAGTGTCACCAGTATCTCCTGCCTTGATTTCCTCCCCCCTCCTCCCAGGATAGGCAGGTTCAATAAAGTAAATATGTGTGTCATGCTCATGCCCTTTTGGGAGGTAGCTCTGGTTTGCATGCCATCAGTTTCCAGGATTAGAAAAAAGGGGTGCCCTGCTTGTGTTTTATACCAGCTTCTGTGAGTAATTCAATTGCTGGTTTGAATGTTTTTAGGGTTTTTCAGTGCTCAGAACTTGTAAAAACATAACTTGTTTTTCTTCATATTTGTCCTTGTTGCTCTCATTAGATCCTCATAGAATAGTCAGCAAAAGCTATGATAACATCTCTCAGCGGGCGGGGTGCCTTTAGGCTTTGGTCCTAGGCTACAGTAGGGCCTTTCCATATCTGTAGTGTTACACATTTCTGGAAGCAGGCTCTTCTGCCATATAATAAGAAAACTCACTTGTTTTGTTAAATCTCCCAAGTGAATATTTGGCATCTGGGCCTCTTTTCTTGGCCATAAAGATTTAACTAGAAGTTTTCCTGTGGCTATTTAATAAGAATTTTGTCAGAATGGCAGAGGCCCAAGTCCATAGCTGCTTTGGCTTCTACATTTCACTTTCTGACAGTGTTTTGTGTGTGTGTTTTAATGTAGGGTTGGCAGGTGTCTGTCTCAGGAGACAATGGAAGTGTGTGCTTTCATGGGTAAAGGCTAACTGTTAAGAGAGTTATAGAGCAGGCTGTGGCCAAAATGAGAAATGAAGGCGTCTGGTTCTGCTGATGCAGATGCACCATGGCGTTTGTCCTTTCTGTGCTCTTCCCAGCGGTACCTCCTCCTCTGGTCACTGCTGTGGCTACAGGACCTGACCTCAGTTTCCATGCACTGCGATCAAGGAATTCTCACAAGGCCGGGTTGGTGCTGCCAGCCTTCATGCCATGTTTGCAGACATATTTGCAATTCAGAGTTGTTCTGGTGCCTGAAGCCAGCTCCCCGTAGAGCAGAGGCTCTTGGGCCTCTGCCATTCTGACAAAATCCTTATTTTATTGTATTTTTAAAAAGTATCCCAGGAAAACTCATAGCTATAAGATTCTGACAAAATCCTTATTTTATTTTTAAAAGTCTCCCAGGAAAACACATAGCTATAAGTAAATAAATGCAAACAGATTAAGTGTTTGGAAACCATTTATACACTTTTCCCAGAACTGAATCTCCATGTAAGTTTGTGTCTTTGGCCCAACCGGGTATGAGGATCCCAGCGCAACCCTTCTAGCCTTTTTAGTATCTCGCTGAAGCACTCCTGCGCTCTGCTATGGACGTCAGCGCGCAGGGCCGGCGGGAGCGTCGTTGCTAGGTGACGTCAGCGCGCCGGCCGACGCGCGGACGCGACAGCCGGTGTAGGAGGGGGGAGGGGGCCGCGCTCGAGCTCGCCAGCCCGGTAAGTGTGGCGGAAGGATGAGGGGGCTGGACCGGGCTGCCTGCGCCCTGCACCGTCTCGCTCGGGGTGGGGACCCTTGAGGGGCGGAGCCCGGTTTCCCTCCCCTTCCCCGCCGCCCCACCCCCACCGGTCCGGTGCTTGGGGAAGTGGGGCGGGGTGGGAGCCTGCCCTTTTCCCTGGGTCTTGGTGCGTTTCTCTCTATTGGGGTCGTTGGGGAAAGAGGCAGAGAAACGTAAGGCCGGGATTGTGGGCGGTGGACACCCTGCCTTTCGCTCGCGGCCCACGGTGGCCTCGCGACAAGGTGGGCGGTGGGTGGGTGGGCGCACCTGGCGTTGCATGGGGGGCGGGGCTGCCCCTGACCTTGCAGCCCTCCCCGCCCCCAGGAGACGGGGCAGGTCTTCCTGGACCCTTCAGGCGTGGTGGGTATTCTTTTGAGGGTTTTCACAGGGACAGGCAGGCCTCTTATCTGAGGATGCTCTGGACTCCTGTCTTTGAAGCCCAAAGCTTTACTTTTTATTTTTAATAGAAATTGGGTGCAGTTCAAGCTGCACTAGCTGCCCTTAGCTGCCTTCTTCGGGTGCTGACAAAAAATTAGCAGTAGGGTAATTTTCAGGTTTGACAAGGAAGGGCTTGCTTCTGCATAGCCAGGGGTAGGATTGCAGCCTTGACCCATTTCCCTCCTTGCAGTTTGTGCTAAGTAATGATAATAATGATTATATATATATGCCCCTCATCTGACTGGGTTGCCCCAGCCACTCTGGGCGACTCCCAACAAAAAATAGTACAGTAAAAGAAAAATACCACAAGAACAGTGTTGTTCTTGGGTTGGGAATTGTATCTGTGCTAGTTGCTGGAGAGCCTTTTCTGTGGTGGCACCTGGACTTTGGAATGCTCTCTTCAGGGAGGTTTGACTGGCACCTTAGCTACAATCTTTTTGGCATAAGGTTAAGCTGATTTTAATCAGCTGAGCTTTTGGTTTTATATAATTTATTTTTATTTGCTATATTTATATCCCACTTTTCCTCCAAGGAGCTCAAGACTGCATATATGGTTCCTACTCCTCTCTGTTTTATCATTGTAACATCACTGTGTGATAGGCTTAGTTAGACTGAGAGACTGGTCCAGGGTAACCAAGTGATGCTCATAGCTGAGAGATGATTTGGACCATTGGCTCCCCAGTCCTATAACTTGTATGAAGATGCTGTACTGTCTTGTTATATTGTGTGTTTGTTAATAATAATAGTAATTATTCTTATTTTATTTGTACCCCATCCATCTGACTGGGTTGCCTCAGCCATATATAAAATGTAACAAAACATTAAACATTAGAAAACTTCCCTATATAGGGAATCTTTCCAAAGGTTGTAGATTTACTTTTCTCCTTGACATCTGATGGGAGGGCGTTCCACAGGGTGGGCACCACTACCGAGAAGGCCCTCTGCCTCGCTCCCTGTAACTTCACTTCTCACAGTGAGGGAACTGCCAGAAGGTCCTTGGTGCTGGATTTCAGTGTCCTGGCTGAATGACAGAGGTGGAGACACTCCTTCGGGTATACAGGGCTGAGGCCGTTTAGGGCTTTAAAGGTCAGCACCAACACTTTGAATTGTGCTTATTGAACCCATTGGGTGGAGGATGGTTTAATTTTTTAAAAAATAAAACTTTTTGAAACTAGTGTTTTGCTTGCCCAGATTCCTTATTGCTTCTGTTACCAACTTCAGTATAGAGCAGGGCTTTCTGCTTTTTCTATAGCTATCTAGAAGTGCAATGACAAACCAAGATGTAAAAGTGAAACTAAATTAGGAGGCCAAGAAGGCAGTACAGTACATGCTTGAATTTGTTCCAGCTCATCCACACAATGCTTAATTATGGTTTGGTGTGTCAACACGATATGTAAGTAACTATACTACAAATTGTGCACAAATTGCTTCAGTCTGGATGCATTGAAACTACATCAGAGTAGTGAATTTGTAATTTTGTTGTTGTCATTACCTCCACCTGTCAGTGTTTCTATCTTGAAAATCGTAGATACTTACAATGTGGTGTTCCATTTTCCAGGTTGTGCAGATATTTTAATTCTGAAAGCCACAATCTCAGATATTTTACAAATAGACCCAAAGTTACCAGTTGTAGAGCACCTGTGTAATTTTCATTAAAACACCATCTTTCATGTATTCCTGTTGTATATTTAGTGGCATCTACTTTGCATCTGTTTCAGTTATTTGTACAGGTTTCTTGTTTTCCACGTATAAGACTGATTTGTAATAATTTGATTATTATAATAGTTTCTGAAAGGAGTTATTTACATAATTACCATTTTGAATCTCTTAATTGCTTGTCTTCCTTTTGTTGCATTTGAATCCAAGTTGTCATGACAGTTTTTCATATGCATATGTGAACACAGTGCATATGCACTCTTTGCCATAACAGAATTATCATTGCATGCACTTTTTTATTTAGATTTACAACTTGTGTAAAGCTTAATGACTTGCGTGAAGAAACAAACCAAGCACTCCCTCCCCCTGTATAAACTATCATCAATTTGATGTTTTTTCTTGTTTTTCTGTATTGTGCTTTTAGTCTGTATGTTGCCTTTGTGATATTGTATATGAAAGTGTAGTTTATAAATATTTAAATTAAATAAATTGAAAATTTCTGACCCATTCATAACCCTGAGCTCTAAATGGACATTTAAAAATAGCTATACACTCAAAGCAGTATTCATTGGTTCTTTCTCTGTTCATTTTATCCTCAAAGAAATCCTGTATAGACCTTTTTGTTCACAATGCTGAACAACATTATAAATCCAGGTTAAGTACCTATGGTTTAACTTAACAATTGCATTTGGACTGCCTGCATGGTATGTTTTGGGCCTAATATCTTCTGTAAGGTAGATCAACATGATTCTTTCCAGGTGGTAGATACAGGCTTAAAATCAACAAGTGAGGTTAGGGTGGAGGTAGATTTGAACTTCTTCAGTTATTTTAGGCACTATGCTGCACGAACTCTCCTTTTTGCAGTAACTTGATAGACTGAAACAGACAAATAGGGCTTGGCAACTAAAATGAGTCAAAGAAACGAAAATGAAAGCAGACAGAAGTCTTTCAAAGGTGCCACTCCTTTTTATAGTATTGAGATTAACTCAGTGCAAAAAATACTTTCTGCACTTATGATTATAATACTTAGTTTTGTTTTGGCCTCTGGTACTCATCAGGTGCTTTTCAGACCAGGACACATGGCAATGCTTAGGGACCGGAGCCACAATGATCCCTATTGCTTTCCCAACTCAAGTTGTGGAGCTCTGGAACTCCCTCCTGCTCAGACAGCTATACTATCCTTGAGTAGTGCATCAGGTAGTCCTGGTGGGCCCTCCTGAGACCTTGGGCAGCTGCCCAGTCCTGCTGACGTGCTCCTCCACAACAACCCTGCCTTAGTCATGCACACACTTAAAATCCTCAGTTACACTAAGTCAAAGCTTTCCAAACTTTTCATGTTGGCGACACACTTTTTAGACCTGCATATTTTGCGACCCAGTAATTCAATTTTAGAGGGACGCGGGTGGCACTGTGGGTTAAACCACAGAGCCTAGGGCTTGCTGATCAGAAGGTCGCCTGTTCGAATCCCCGTGACGGGGTGAGCTCCCGTTGCTCAGTCCCTGCTCCTGCCAACCTAGCAGTTCGAAAGCACATCAAAGTGCAAGTAGATAAATAGGTACTGCTCCGGCGGGAAGGTAAACGGCGTTTCCGTGCGCTGCTCTGGTTCGCCAGAAGCGGCTTAGTCATGCTGGCCACATGACCCGGAAACTGTACGCCGGCTCCCTCGGCCAATAAAGCGAGATGAGTGCCACAACCCCAGAGTCGGTCACGACTGGACCAATGGTCAGGGGTCTCTTTACCTTTATTGTAATTCAATTTTACTAGCAAACTGGAGGTTAAACTAACCCCTTTCCAGCCTCGGGAGGAGTGTGGGGAGTGTTTGCACGACACACCTACACATTGCAGCTGACACACTAATGTGTCGCGACACAGTTTTGAAAGCTGTGCTCTAAGTCATTTTCCTGTTGTTCAATAGTTTATCCTGTAAGATTTGCTGTTCCTACTTGCTGACATGACACAAATTCTGTTCCATAAATACCTTTGGACAGCTCAACATGAATCTGATTTAATTTTATTCTGTATATATGTGTATTTAAAATTCAATTTACGTTTATATATTTTCCTTCTCCCAAGGACCTCAAGGTATTTTGCACTGAGCTATTCATCTTAGCCTCAGAACTACCTGTGAGTTAGGGAGGAGGAATGCATGTTTGAGTGGTGGAGATAAACTGGATCAAGGTATCTGCTTCATGCCTTGAGTGGGAATTTAAATCCAGATCTTCCTCAGTTCACATCCAGCATGGTATTCATTGTGCAACACTGGTTCTTAGTTATTAAAAACTTATATTCTGCCTTTTGAACCAGGCAATTTGGAAAGGTGACTCACAAATACACATTAAAACAACAAAAATGCATTAAACAAAAACAGAATGAAAGCCAACTAATAATTCCTGCAATAAACAGCAGAAAAACTTACCAAAAGCAGCCAAGGCTTATGAAAAAGTGTAGTGTTAATTTGACATCAGCCTTCTTAGGTAGAAGGGGAGGAGTTGCACGGTCCTTTTGTCACATTTGGACAGACATGCATACATAATTTTATTTGTATACTGCCTTTCCACAATTCAAACCATGCTCAAGGCAGCTTACGACATGAAAAAATACATAACTACAACATGCTTGATGCTTTTTATTATGTTTTTAGAGACGTTGTAAGCTGCCCAGAGTGGCTGCGGAAACCCAGCCAGATGAGTAGGGTATTACAGTAATAATAATAATAGTCATAATAGTCATAATCAATTAAACATTAAAAATACACAACCAAACTGAACGATTTCCACATAAATTACATCAATATCTAAAATAAAGATACAAAAAAACAACAACACAGCAGCAGCCCCCCCCCCCGCCCCAATGACAGCAAAACCCCCAAACACCTCAGCCGAAGAATCTGTTCAGCAGCTTCAACTTTTGCAGCTGTCCAGTCCAGGCCCCTCATTCCCAGGCCAGGTGGAAAAAGGCCTGCAAAGCAGGGAGCAGCTCTTCCAGTACCCTGTCTTGGGTAGCCCTCTCCTGTGATCTAGAGTTGGGCTCCTGAGGAAGATATAAAAGTAGGGGTGGGATACCTGTGGTTCTCCAAGTGTTGTTGGATTTTAGCTCTCAACAACCTTAGTCAGCTGGCCAGTGTTGGGAGGAAAAATGGGGAGTTTTAGTCCAGCAAGATTTGAAGAACCACAAGTTTTCCTCCAGCAACTTAGATGTGTGATTAAATTCAAAGGAAAGACAGCTTCCCTGTGGCTCATCCCAGTGAACATTCTGTGGTTGCATTCTGAACCATTTGTCGTTTCTGAGAAATAGCAAGGCAGATTTAACAACATTCAGATTGAGAAGTGGCTAAAAGATGAACGACCATCTGTTGAACTCTTGGCTCTAGTGAGTCTGGAAGTGGGTAGAGCTCACCTCTCAAGTACTGGCATTGCTGCAAAGTTAGAGAGCAGGGCAAAGTGTGTTTGGCTTTTCAGTAGCTCTTGAAATAGTTGACTCTAAAAATGACTTTGATATATTTTGTATCACTTAGATTACTTTTCTGAAAACGGTTTCACCTGGTATTTTTAAAACCCCTATTACTGTTTTGTCTTCAGTTTCTACCCCTGCAAGTGCAAGTGCAGGGGTAGCCAGAAACCTCATCTTCCACATGAGCATTGGCTCTAGTTGCATGTACAATATAGTAAAAGCCATATTAAAAAGTTAAAAGTTAAAATCTATTGTTTTCACTCACTCGCTTTCTCGTACACACAATTTTTGTGTAATGAAGAAATACAAGGTGTGAGAGAAAAATATTTAAATAGCTGTTCTAGATGTTCCGAAACTTTATAATTTATTTAAATGTGCATGGTACTCTATTCTCCCCAAAGTGGGTGCTAAAAATAAAAGCAGCTTCAAATTATGCACCGTGTGGGTATCATGAACTGAGCGAAGTAGCTAAAGCATATGTTTTGCAAATGCCATGTCTCCCCCTGAGAAGTCTTTTAGGCTTTGCAAGTAAAGAGCAGAAGGTTTATCTTTCCACAAAAGCTTCTTCAGTCTGAAAGCACACTGGGCATTGATACTTTCCCGGGAGAGCATTTCAAGGACTTAATAGTATATCTGTCTTATAAAACATGATTCGTTGAAAAGGCTTCCTATATTAATAATTGAAAATCACTGTGATCTCAGTTTTGGAGAGTTAATCATGCTCCTGTGAGAATAGGTCATAAATACTAATATTCTCGCTAATTATGGATGAAAACTCTTGGTGTAGATTTCAATATTTAATTTGAGCACTGCTATATGGTTCCTAATTGATCTGCCCTGGTTACAGAATCAATTTTAACTTGTACAGAGCATTATAATTAGTGAGTTGGCTGACTGTGGAAACCCTACAACATAATGATTTTCTTCTAATTTGCTTTATAAGGGCTTGTTTATTTGGAGCAGTTAGATTGGCAGTGTTACATTCTGACATCTGCTTTCATTAAACCTGGGACTTTCTTGTAGCCAAACAGTGTTTGTATCAATCAGTTGATGAAAGGATGATTCCATGTACATCACTTAACTTTAAAATAACTTTTAGAGGAGAGTCCCTCTTTCATATTATTTATGCTTTATTTTTATAGGTGTAGGATATATCACCATCCTGCAAGATGAGTAACAGCCATCCACTCCGTCCTTACACAGCAGTAGGTGAAATAGACCATGTTCACATTCTGTCCGATCATGTTGGTGTTCTGATGAATGGGGAGGAGTACAGTGATGTTACCTTTATAGTGGAAAAGAAACGTTTTCCTGCACACAGAGTGATTCTGGCAGCGAGGTGCCAATATTTCAGGTGAGGTATAACTTCTTATCAGATATACTTAGAGCTTCTGGTTAAGCAAGATAAAATAGAAACTACTAAAAGTAAACTGATTTCATCTGCTCAGTGCATGGGAGCTTTCTGAACACCTATTATGGTACACTGTTTTTAACTGTGAGACAATACTTATATTATGCTGTCATATCTTGACCTTCACTGCGTAGGTATCCAGAATGGATGTTGGTTGTTAAAGACCTAAAATTCAGGATGTTCACACACTATACATGCTTTCCCCCAGGAAACATTGTTACTGTGAAGTGTGGTAAAATGTGTGTATTTACATTTCATACAACGTGAGATAGAATTATGTTGTTGGATGTGAGATTTCACATTTTATTTGTTCCTTGCTTATCTTTTGAAATAGAGTTTTATGCTTTCTCCTACGTTTGTGAAAAACAACTCTGTCTTCCTTTCAACCCACTCCACCTCCCAACATTTGCTTTGTGTTCTGCCTGGTGGTAGATGAAATTTAGGCAAGCAATTTGAAATTTTCTTACTGAACCTTAATCTATTCTCCTTTTGGGTAGGTGTGATTGCCTTAACCATAGTTTATGGTTAAGTCCCTGATAAAATCCCAGACAAATTTCTATTCATTATCTATTTTTAGAAAGATCTAAAATCTCATAGTAAGGTTATCTTAAAAAGAAATTTACGTTGGATGAAATCCAGTGTTCCACAAGCAGACTTCTGCTTCCTCTCCTCCCTCTCCATATTGCAGATGCCATACACTCACCAAATCCACGCTGGAGTGTTTCCCCATACCACTGTGTGAGTAGAAGTCTGTTCTGCTCATGGGCAGCCACAGCTGGGTAGCACCCAATATTTCTTTGTGTGTGTGTATTTGAGCAGATATAGTTATTAAGGTTGATTTCAGCTGATGTTTTCTGATGATAGTGGAATGGCAGAGCGTTACCTGAATAACTGCCTCTTCTACATGAACTTGGCCAAACCGTAAGATCAGCTTTGTTGGCGCATATCAGACGCTTACTATTGATTGGCAGCAGTTAAGAGGTCTGATAGATTCTCTCTGCTTTCAGTTGGTTTTTGAAAATATTTAGAGTTTGAATCTCCCTCCCAAATATACTGTTGGTGGTTGATTACAGTAATCTCAGAATATGTAGCTTAGAAGAAAATAAGCTCTACCTTCTCTCTTCCTCCACATAATCATATGTGTGATGATGTAAAATAGAATACAACAGCATACTCTGTTTACCTGTTCGGTTTTCAGTATACTGCTACCCTTATCAAAATGATATAAAATGAGTGACCAACTGATTTCTATGGGTGAAGTTCAGGAAAGCAGTGCTGATAGTATAATGTTATTGACTCCCAAGAACATCATGGTAAATATGGTAGATACTGCACCTTCCATTTGATGTTTTGCCAGACACTCTGTTTCATGTGTTGAATGAAACAATTTGTTCACTTCCTTTTGTGCAGTTGCTTCTGATAATCCGTTGTAAGTAAATTTCAGTTTAGCTCTTGAATGTTTGTTCTAATATCTCATAGCAAGTCCTCAAATTCAAAGCTAAGGTCATAGTTTCTAACTTTAAGGACCAACTATAATTTTCATTCAATTGCATAGATTTAACTTTCAAATGAAATTAATGACAGTTGTGTTTGCCATATTCTACAATATATGCTTCAAGTCTTACTTAAGGTCTCTCTTACCAGAATACAAGTTTGTTGTTTTTTTACATTGTTTCTTTCTCCCCTTGTACAGAGCATTATTATATGGTGGAATGCGTGAATCTCAGCCTGAAGCAGAAATCCCTCTCCAAGACACCACTGCAGAGGCCTTTACAATGTTGTTAAAATATATTTACACAGGCCGTGCCACATTAAGAGATGAGAAGGAGGAGGTCCTATTAGACTTCCTGAGTTTAGCACATAAATACGGATTCCCAGAACTGGAAGATTCCACCTCTGAGTATCTTTGCACCATCCTTAACATTCAGAACGTTTGTATGACTTACGACGTTGCTAGTCTGTATTTGCTTCCCAAGCTTACATGTATGTGCTGCATGTTTATGGACAGAAATGCTCAAGAGGTGCTCTCCAGTGAAGGTTTTCTGTCACTTTCTAAGGTATGTATCAGTTTTTTAAGCTTTCAGTAAAAAAATAACAGTCCCAATTTTATTCTTTATGTTTGTGTAAATGTTTTTGGAAATAGGACCCGAAAATCATTCCAGTATTCATGGAGTGCAATGTTCTATTCCATGTGTAGTTATTTTTCCATTTTCTATATATCTTGGATGAAGCTTGGTTGGAGTTCTTTGGGATAGTACCAAGACAGATCAGAGGGGAGAGAGTTGTACTTCCACCATTATTATTTTTCGTGATCTTCCTGTGGGCTTCCAATTGGAGTCCATGGGGATTCTTCACTGCTTGTGAATACCTTTTCCCGTGTATGCTCCTTTCTCTACCACATAAATGTCAGTCTTCCCCATGGGACCATCACAACTGTTTGGGCTGTGCCATGGTGCTGTCACTATGCCTCAACCACTCTGTCCCCTTCACAGAACTGTTTTTGAAAACATGAAGACAATACCTGAAAATAGCTCTCATTTTTGGGAGGTAGAGTTGCTATACTGTGTCAGTGGTAGACAACATGGTGCCCTGCATATGTTACTGGACTACAACTCCCATCAGCCCCAGACAGCATGGTAAATGATTATGGGGGTTGCAGTCCAATAACATCTGGAGGAGAAGAACAAAGCAGACTTTGGGGGCTGGAAGCAAGCTACCTTTATATTGAATGAAACCTCTGGGACACACAATAACTTCCACTGTAAGAGAATTTCTGCCCCCTCCTGGAAATTTAATTATTAACATAATTGTCTCCATGATAAATAATGTTGTTGGTAATCAACAGTTGGTTATTCTTTGCTTACTGGTATAATATCACTGTTTATAATGCTGCCTAGCCTTAATATATATATTGTAAAAAGAGGAGAGATAAAATTGAGAAATCCACTGATTGTGGTAACAGAATTAGATGCAGTGCAGTGATTCTTACAACCTTTTCTTAATGGAAAAGTCAATTATACAAAAGACATGATTAGATCAGAAAAGATGCCAGTAAAGAATCAATATGTTACCGAAAATTTAACCAGAAGCCCAAGGAGACGGGTTAATAATTAATATCATGTAGGTTTGTAAGTCATTCTGCATCCTTGTAAGGTGGCTAAGGTTTAGCACTCAAACTTTGATTTTTAACATGTAGTAAAAGACTGAAGCTGTTTTGAAGCTGTTCTGAAGATGATGCTATATTGTTGATTCTTTGAACACAGCTCTGCCTAACACTCTCTTAGGAGATAACTTTGAATATATTGTTTAGTATAGGAAACAAGCATCTTCAAATGTAGTTTCATCTGTTTAAAGAGACATTTCATACACCTGATGCTGAAGGTGCCCAGAAGATAAGAAAATGTGCTAGTATTCTCTTCTTCTGTTCTCTGCTTTTGATACCATTGCACTTTACTCTTACATTTTTGGTGTTTGTTTGTGGTTCTGTCTAAATTAGGGCACAGTAAGTCTGCAAACTTCACAGGGGTTATATTTCAGGGATCATTCCTAAAGCCAAAATCACATATAGTCAAAACACATTGCATTCAATGGGAGGTGGGATTGTGAAAGTCTTTTTCCTTCCCAATATCTGCTCCCTTTCAACCCTCTTTTTAATTTGTAATTTTTATTTTGCAAGCACACAAAGCTGAATGCACACCAGATAAATACACATAAGTTGTGGGCTTACTGTATATATAGGGTAGGCCCTACCTTTTAGGCAGATTACAAATATTACCACACTGCATTATTTAGAATTTGCTGATTTTTTAAGTGGGGAAACTTTGATCATAGGTCTACATCTTTGGCTGCGAAGTTGTACCCATACCATATAAGTTATATATCAGATATGAGTAAAGAATGGTGAATACTAGTCAATAAATAATATTAGCTTTCCTGAATTGTTGAGAAAGATGTTGTGTGCTTCCCCTACCCTCTCCTCTTCCCACATACTTGTGAGAAGTTTCTTCAATCATATCTTGTGCCATCTGGACCTAGATCTGTGGCTGGTGGGTATGGGTCGCTTTGTGAAGGCATGGGATAGGGTCTTCTTGTAGTGGGACCCTGCCATGTACAATTCTCTCCCTCTGAAGGCCTTGATACCCACTATATTATTGGGCTTCTGGCTCCAGTTTAAGACACATTTGTTGACCTGGGCCTTTGGTGGAATTGATCAGATTATTTAAAGTGTGAGGGAATTAATGTTGTATTTAATATTGTAATGATCTTTGATTTTTTACTTATTGGGCTTTATAATGCTAGCTGTATTTTATGGGTTGTTTTAGTTAACCTTTTGTAAACTACCCTAGGATCAGAATTTTATTGTGGACATAATAGTTTCTATGGTAAATAAAAGTAAGGTTTGTGATAAGCAAACTTGTGATGAAAGGTGGCTCCGGTGGCCACTCATGTATGTGAACTGTGGGATGCCAGCTGTGTTTGGTTTTCAAATTGTATTTACATTAATCTTTCCTTGTTTCTTAGCCAGCTCTTCTCAGTATTGTACTGAGGGATTCATTTGCAGCACCTGAGAAGGATATTTTCCAAGCTTTGATGAACTGGTGTAAACACAACCCGAAGGAAAATCATGCAGAAATCATGCAGGCAGTGCGCTTGCCACTGATGAGTTTGACAGAGCTCTTAAATGTTGTAAGGCCTTCTGGATTGCTGTCGCCTGATGCCATTTTGGATGCTATTAAAGTTCGATCTGAAAGTCGGGATATGGACCTCAACTATAGGGGCATGTTAAGTAAGCCTCCGTATTTCCAGGGAAATGACCCTATATGTTTTCTTATAATTAAAAACTTCCTTAGCTAACTATTGATGCTGAGTAAATGTTTACTAACAGAAATACAAGGCTATACAAGTGTTCACAAGGTTGTATAAGGCTACTTTGTTTACAGCAAATTGATTGAATGGCAAAACACTGTGTTGTATTCAAAGGTTGCAAGAGTAGAAGACCACCTGTGCAACCAATATTTTTCTTTGTCTCTCCAGAAGTTGGGGGTGTTGGTGAACAGTGTGGCTTGTGCCATGGAGTAGGGAGGGAAACATTGTTCATACTCGGTTTTGAGTGTTTCTTCACTCATGTTGTAACCCATCCTCATGACACAGTATACCCTGTTCTGGAGGCACTGCTGAACAGGCACACAAGAAGTTGGCAAGAGGGAGGAGACGAGGGGAAATAGCAGTAGTGTGAGTGTCCTTCTGCTGGTGGAAACTTTGGTTACTTGCTTAAAAACACACTTGTCTCAAATGATCCCTAAAATTCATTCTCTCCTGAATATATCAGAAATATTTCACTTCCTTAAATTTAGACAGTTACAAGTCATAATAAATTAATGCCTTCCCTACTGCCCTCCTCTAAACTGACTGTGACGAGGAGGCTACAAATCTGCAGTGGTACTCTTGAGCCACTTTTTAAATGATGTTTTCCTGGGAATTAGTATTTTGTGCATCTTATATAAATATAAAGTTTACCAGTAATAGAAATATTTTTGAATACTGTGGACACAGTCCAGTAGAAATTAGCTATGACCAAGTCCACTTAAAATTAATGGGACATGTGATATTCCTGACCGTGTCCCATTTTATTGCTTCCAATGTGAGTTAATCATAAGTACCTTATGTTGAATTGTTGTTTTGGTGAAAATAAGCAAATCTCTACACACACATATACACATAGGGGGTCCTTCTTGTAGGGTTCCCATAGGCATCTGGCTGGCCAATGTGAGAATAGGATGCTGGACTGAATGGACCACTGACCTGACCCAGCAAGGTTCACCGTATCTTCTTAATGACAGGGTAGTGGGTTTAACCAGGCACTAGACACTTCATAATGTCAGCCTTTTAGATACCTTCTGTTTTTTGCATGACTTTTTAATATCATTTGTTTCCACATTTTTGTAAATAGCATAATGTGCAAGAAGAGCATAATTTTAAAACATCATTTTTATTCCCATTCTTCCAGTACCAGGTGAGAACATTGCCACTATGAAATATGGAGCCCAGGTAGTGAAAGGGGAATTGAAATCTGCTTTGTTAGATGGAGACACACAGAATTATGATTTGGATCATGGATTTTCCCGACACCCCATTGATGATGACTGCCGTTCTGGTATTGAAATTAAATTGGGTCAGCCATCGATAATTAATCATATACGTATACTGCTATGGGATCGTGATAGCAGGTGAGTTCCAAGTCATACTCAGTTTACCAACCATGCCTTTTCTTAGGCTACTGCAGGATCAAATCTATACATAAATATAATTACTTTAACAAAGCACTGGGGAACCTCTAGTTTGCAGACCTAATTAGGCCTTCCAGGGAGTCTTTATTTGGCCTTCTGAGATTGTCCTGCCCGCCCCCCCACAAGCCACACCTACCACCCTTCACCTGATGTCATGTATGATTTCAGGTGTCTGGGGCAGGCAAAGCTGTGATTGCAAAGGAAGAATGGAAAGCATTTAATTATGGTCCCAATTATTTTTAGGCAAGCGGAGTTTATATTCAATGTCTCTTAAATTTGGCACCAAATGCACAGCCTGCTGGGATCAGCTCCTTGCAGGGAAGCTAATTGCTTTTGACAGAGATGTTCTCAAGTTGCAGAGCAGAGCAACTTGAGTTGTTAAAGTCGCCCATGACGTGATAATTATCATATTTTTTGCTCTATAAGGTGCACTTTTCCCCTCCTAAAAAGTAAGGGAAAATGTGTGTGTGTCTTATGGAGCGATTGCAGGCTGCGCAGCTATCCCAGAAGCCAGAACAGCAAGAGGGATCCTTGCTTTCACTGCGCAGCGATCCCTCTCGCTGTTCTGGATAGCCGTGCGAAGCCTCCTCAGGGCAGCGGGAGTCCCCCGCCCCGAAGAGGCTTTGCGCGGCTATCCCAGAAGCCAGAACAGCAAGAGGGATCGCTGCACAGCGAAAGCAAGGATCCCTCTTGCTGTTCTGGCTTCTGGGATTCAGAATATTTTTTTTCTTGTTTTCCTCCTCCAAAAACTGGATGTGTCTTATGGCCTGGTGCATCTTATAGAGCGAAAAATACGGTAAGCCCACTGACCAAATCCTACAGCCTAACCCTGTGGGCAATAGGATTTGGTGAATGACGCATATTAATAGTAATAGCAGCATCTAGTATAAGAAAAACAAGGATATTGTTGCAAATTGCAAGCTTCTAATAGAGCAGAATGATTAATTTGCAAAATAAGATAGCAGAGAAATGTATATAATATAGTGGATTAAAATAGGAGGTGTAATAGAGTTGAGAGTTGTTGACCAAAAACTGATGGAAAATAGTATATAACACAAAATAAACTTCCCTTTTCAGTCTCCCTTTATTCTGTGCTGATGTTTATAGTCTGCTAAATCTTTCCTAAGCTGCCTTGCTGATGTTGTAGCAGGAATGACTACTGTGGTTCAGGTTTAAATTTAGCCTATGCAGTAGGAATACAAATTACTTTTTTATGGCTTTAGGTGTGTTAAATGTCTGCATTTAATGTTCCATCATGTCTGAAGGAAGACTACTTCATTTTGTTGTGATTGTGAATTTTGCCATTAAAAAGATCTCAAAGTATTTTTAGCATGCAATTATATTTCAGTTTTGAGATGTACCTGTCATGCAAATATGTGTAAGAACTGTAGTCTTGGTTACATTAAAAGCTAATACTTTGTTATATTGCCACTAAAGGTGTAATTTATTGAATATTTGGCTTTATGTTGTGTAGTGGAGTTCATGTGACCTTAACATAGTCAGTCACTAGGATACATAAGGTATACTGTATAAAGATGGTGCATTGATAATCTCAGTGTTTCAATTAATTAATTTGCTGTTCAAAGGTCTTACTCCTATTATATTGAGGTGTCCATGGACGAGCTAGACTGGATCCGTGTAATCGACCACTCCAGATATCTCTGTCGCTCTTGGCAGAAGCTGTATTTTCCTGCCCGTGTCTGCAGGTTAGTGCGCAATTTGATCACATCTATGCAGCTTGGTATTATTGTCTGTATCTCAGTTGTTCCGATTTGGTTGCTAGAGCTAGATGTCACATTCCAGTGGTTGAGATAGCTGTGTGATAATGAGCGGCAAACTGTAGGCTTGAAAAACTGTTAATCCTCTCCCTTTTTATATGCAATCCTTTTTCTGCTAGTTGTTTATCTACCTGGTTGTCTTCAAGTCCTGAGCATGATAGCTTTTTGTGTATATTGTAGGCATTGTAGAGAACAACTTGGCTTTGTAAGTATTTTATAACCCCAATCAAATATGGAGGTTGTCCCTAAGTTTTGGAAAAGTGATGCTGAAAAACCAAGAAGGAAAAATTTAGATTTTTTCTTGAATGCTCACCAGTTAATTGCAGTTTACCATTATGGGTGATATACGTTAGTAATACTTTGAATAGACAAGCTCTGAGTTTGACTCCCATTGGATACCACCCATTGATAATAAAATTGCTTAGCATGTAGTTATCTAACTTATAAACCTGTTTTAAGCACTTCTTGTTAAAAATAAAAAAAAATTAAAGATAGGCCCTTCCAGAGAATCAAGTACAATTTTGGATTGCATCACTCTGTTTCACCTGTAGAAGGTACTCTTTTTATTATTCAGGCAACTGCAATTTAGCATCATAATATTAAAAGAAAATGTCATTTTCCCCTTCAGTAAATTTCTGCAGTATTACAGGGATTGCAGTTGAGGCAGTGATAGTATGTGAGATGATCTCTGATTTGAAAAGCATTACTTTGTTTTCCCTCCCATTCCCTGGCCACTTTTTTTTGGGGGGGGGGTATCTTTTCCCTCTTTGGTATATATAAGATCCTACACAGGTTCACATGGTATTTTTTACATCTTGTTCTAATTCAGATTGTGTGTGTGTGTGTGTGTGTGTGTGTGTAGGAATAACAAGCTTGTCCCAAGTTTTAAGAAATAAAATCTCCAGGGGGTAAAACTACGAGAGATTCAGAAAGTAGCATGAATCACTTCAGGGATTGCAGTTCTTGGCTCTTTCCTTTGAAGTCCTCATGGGGTTAAGGATACCAATTCAAAGAAGCAGTAGCCTTAAAAACAAAGTTTAGTTTTTAAAAAGGAAAAGGTAAGTATCTTGTAAGAAACCAAGGATGAGTAATGCTTATATTTCTTTTCTCATAAACTTAAATTACATTCTAATGCAACAAGTTGTTCATCCAGCAAGGGATAGCTTTTAGGAGTGCAGTAGTTCAGGGACAGTTGGAGATGCAAAGGAATAGAGTTGCATCTCTTCTGCTGAGGTTTTTGAGGAGAAATCCACCCAATATTTATTTTGTTGTCCAGGCCTTTTTCTTTATCCTTACAATACAGACCATACAGTTTTGAATGTCTTACATTGCTTTTCTTCGGGAATGGGACCAAAGAGATGGAAGGGCATGTCCCTGACACAGTTTAATTTTAGTGCTGAATGCAAGCCATGCTTGCAAGAGGGGTTGGCTCCACTCTGGAACCCTGGTCTACTCTGGAGCATCCAGCACAGTTCCCCATGGAGCACAAAGGAAGTATTGCTCTTTATTAAATGCACACATTTAAGCTCTTTCTGCTTGCATATTAGGGACTTGCATCTTTGCCGTAGCTGCTGTAATTGAAGTTTATCTTAAAGAAGATAACTTGGGTCAATACTTTGTGTCAGCAACTCTGCAAAAGGATGCTTTGGACTGAATAAAGGAGGGCGTGAACACAAGGGTATCAGTTTGCTATTTAAGAAGTGAAACAAGTATTCTGTACTTGATGACAGTGAGAGACAGGAGTAGTTTCAGCTGTTGTTGGACTCCAGTTTGCATCTGCCCCAGTCATGGCGTCAAATGACCAGGGACAATGGAAGTTGTAGTCCAAACAGTACCTGGAGGCAGCCCCTTGTGGAACTTGTCTGAGGCCCAGGGCGGCCATATTGTCAGAATAAAGATATAAACTCAAACAAAAATGCATCTGGTCCCTGGTGGGGCCTGCCGGCCAGTTTAGCCCTCCAAGACCTGACTGCCCCTCACTCTGCACAGGCCTGCCTGGAGGGCATCATGTTGGCTACCACTGATGATGGGAAAGATCTGCTACACTGGAAAAGCATGATTGTTAAAAGCATTAATAAAAATTACTCGCCTACAAAATTATTTACTAATCTAGTAAGAGGTGAGGAGCATGGAGATGTGTGCGGCTAGCCGCTGAGCAGGTTACTAAAATATTGCATTCTACCAAGTGGCCAAAAATGGTGCAGTCAGCATGGAATTCCAAGTTGCCAGTAGCTACCAGACAAAGAGTGAAATACAAGGCTGCATTAAAATGCTGGTAAAATATGGTGGCCTGTTGAATTATTGTTGTATGCAAATATCATCTATGGGAATTGAGAGGCAAGTTGAGCTCAGCTAGGAAAGTGTACTGATGATGCATTGAGTTTTACTGGTTATAGACTCTTGTGCTCCCTGTTTTATTTCTCCCAATTTCTTGGTTCAGGCTTCACAAAACAATACCAACTTCATATGAACATTATCACAAAGTCATACTGAAAGAGCTTGTTCCACACAGTCTGCAAACTATTCTAGTTTATTAATATTTAAATGTATGCCAGAAATTTCGCAGTAAACACAGACTGATTTAGTTGGCCTAATCAGTCATTCGTTGCATTACTTGCAATATATTGTAGCCATTATTACAGCCTGAAATTGGTTTTGAATAGCATTTTGAAAAATCCAAATTAGTTTCTGAACTGTTGATTGTGTTCTGTGCCTAGTGCATTTCAACGGAGTCTTGGAGTAGGCTAAACTGCTTGCTTATATATGTGTTGGTAACCTGTTAGTTGTCCATGGGTTGGTTCCAGAACTGCTTTCTGCTCATGGAAGGAACTGGGGGGTGGGGGGGTGGAGCGGGGTAGGTAAGTCAGCTTCTACCAGCCTCTGCTTTTCTCTGGATCCAACCTAGGGATGCCGTTTAAAGCAGATTTGATTATTTTGTCTGTCAGTATTTTGTATTTAGTTGTTGATCCACTACATATTTAACTTGGGCTTGTATTAAACTGGGGAATGGGGTGATGACAATATTTAATACTTTTCTTCCTTAGAGTATACAATCTCTGTGTAGCTTATTCCATTTTCATGTTTTGTATCTGCGCAAAAGCTTCAGCTATTTTAAACTTTCAAGCTCACTTACTGACTGGGTTATGGTCTTGCATGGTAAACCTGGAAAAAACCTGAAGACTCTTTGTTGTATTTCCTGGTCCTGCTCTGTCATTTACTCCATGTGAAAGGACACCAGTTTATTATTATTATTAAAATCATATTTTAGCTTCCCACATAAACGCTATAAAAATACTAAATAATAATTGTTGTAAGGAGTTTAAAATTACCTTTGTTTTAATTTGGAAGTCACGGGGGGTGCTTTTGGAGATGAAGGACAAGGTAATAAAATAATAATAAAACAACTATAATAATACTTCTATAAGTAGAATATGATAATGCTGTTTTTTTCCAAGTCTTTCCACAACTATGAAAGCTAGCAAATATCATAGTTGCAGGAGGTTTGTTTTAAACAAAATGCACAAATTTTCCATTAAGCTGGTGCGAGAAGGATAAAACTGTCACACTGGCATGCTAATGAATTGAAGAGTCTCATATATTACGCTGAGATGTAACCTCGTGTTTATAATCCTTCTCTAAAAGTGCCTTACTGTTTTGATTAACTGCTAAAATTCTTCAGAAGAGCATCCTTGTCTTTTCTGATAGCTCTGCGACAAAGAGCTATTCAGATAATCAATAGTTCAGACAAGACAAACACGCATTCAAAGCAAAATAGTTGTGAGCAGCACTGAAAGTGTACAGTAGTTGGCTTTTACTGGTAGTTCAACACTGGAGCATAAAATAATCTACTGGGCTCTCCACTACTGGGCTCTCCACTACTGGTACAGTGGTGCCCCGCAAGACGAATGCCTCGCAAGACGAAAAACTCGCTAGACGAAAGGGTTTTTCGTTTTTTGAGGTGCTTCGCAAGACGAATTTCCCTATGGGCTTGCTTCGCAAGATGAAAACGTCTTGCGAGTTCTTGAGAGTTTGTTTCCTTTTTCTTAAAGCCGCTAAGCCGTTAATAGCCGCTAATAGCCGCTAATAGCCGCTAAGCCGCTAATAGCCGTGCTTCGCAAGACGAAAAAACCGCAAGACGAAGAGACTCGCGGAACGGATTAATTTCGTCTTGCGAGGCACCACTGTAGTTCAACACTGGAGCATAAAATAATCTACTGGGCTCTCCAACTCATGTTTCTTATTATGCAAAGTGCACAAAACAGTTAATTATAAAATACTGGTGATCAACTTGACAGAAATCTTGCTCTCTGGGCACCCTCCTCCTTCAGTGAATATGTGGTTGAGCCAGCTAATTTAGAAAATAGACAAAAGTCTCCAGTGGTCCTACCTTTTTGGTGTCATTTATCTTGCATCGTTCTGTGTAAATTTCCGAACCTAGTTGTTAAATTCCGATAGTAAGTATTAATTTGGTTGGTAATTATCTACTCAAAGTGACAGAAATAGGAAACATATGCAAGTGTAAGACACATTGTCAGTTTCTTCTATAATCCAGTGTATTAGGTTTGATTATGCAAGTGACAAATGTGCCTCTTAAATCGTAAATCATCTAGTCCCCTATACACTTTTACTGATTTATTTCTTACTGTGTTTTAATGTTGCTTCATCTATCCCACAAGATGACAAGAAATTTAGTTAGGATTTAGATTTTCCTTAATGTGCTTAGTGTTCCGGGCAGATGGCAAATTGGCATATAGCCACGTGGTGTCACTAAAGCATAACTTTCTTAAACTGGTGATTTCCTTGGCTGTTTTCCAGAGTAAATCTTAGAAACTGGTGACTTATTGGGAGTATGTTAAATTTGCATCCTTTTTAAAATCGCATTCTCTTATTTTCCTACCCTTGTAACGTATTGTGTTTTGGCCTCTCTG